TATATGTATACAATGTATATGGAAATTCTAATGTTCTAGATTATCTTATATAATCTAGACTATCTTATATAAAAGTGGTAATACTGCTCATTTTCAGTGAGTAAAACCTTGTCCTAAAATCATGTTACTTCTCCCCAAAGTAAAAAATTTTTATAGGACTTTTATCCAGTGTCCATCAAAATTTCCAGTTTTTCTGCTGGAAACTTTCTTTCAAAGTCCTTATGTATATGAGTGTGAGTGTATTTGTGCGGGAGGGGGAATCCCTCACTCCCCCCTTTTTTTACTTAGTTGGAGAGCCTTCACGTCTTTAGTAAATCTGTTTGAAGTCAAAAGCCAAAGACCTTCCCACTCATAATGCCCCCTCCCCAGCCATTAACATCCAAATGCTAAAAAGCATAATACATAACCTCTGGAGAGCAGAGGAGCATAAGAAGATGCCTTATACTGCCTTAAAGGCTATGGGTCCTTATAGCCCAGTATTGCAAGCATAGTTGCACACCATGTTAGAAATCCACTTAGGCTATAGCAGACCAAATCCATAGTTGCCATTGTAAGGCTCTCCGAAAATTGAAAGCTGCCACTCTCCCCAGGATGCAGTATCTTCTCTCTTCCACTCAGATGGGACTGGCCCAGCTCTGCTTCACCCTCTCTGTGTGCCAGTAAGCCAAATCTCCAAAAGATGCAGGTCTCCCGCCTCCCTGTCCATACAGTGCTGTGACCGCTGATTGCATCATTGCCCAGTTAAGCTCCTGTGCCAGGATGGAATGCTATGCCATTGCTGAAGCCTTGTTTTCTGCCTTGGCTCAGCAGCTCAGATTGGCCTGTGAGTGAATCAAATGAGGGTCAGGCCACAAATTATTCCTTCTTATTTATTTTTAAAAGCAAGATGCTAGCTGTCATGGCGAAACATTAAGACGGCATCAGCAAAACATTCCAGCATTCGAAGAGTGACAGTTGTTCACCTGATTGGGCTGCTTTTCCATGACTGTTATTCACATTGCCACTTACCCTTTCTGCCACTCAACCTGTCTCCTTTTTCTGTCAATGCATTCCTCTTTTTTAAATCCACTTTATGGAAAAACTCAAGTGGGAAAACTGACCTGTTCATTTGAAATGCCTTTTTACACAGTTAAAACACTTATATAGATACAGTAATGTATTACTAATTTCTTTTGCATTCATATATTTATTTCAATCAGGTAAACATGGTATGGTGTACAGGCTGATGTGAAACAATCCTAGACAGAATTTGCGAACTGTGGTCCAAACATAATCCCTTTTTGTTGCAAAATGGTTTTCCTGGGTACAAGTGTCCTGCTTGAACTTAAACAAACTATGGCTAGTTCAGTTAAAGTGGTTTATATGCTAGACAAGCCATTCCTATTTTTAGAGGATTGATGGCTATTATTCCAGGTTGGTTGGTTTCATCATCTGGAGCAAATGGTTAATAAATGGTCTCCTGGTATTGCGAATTGCTTTGTGTTTTCAAATGAGTTATCTCTCCGGTTTGATAAGAGGGGGCAATGCATGTGTGAGAAACAGCAGTTTGCCAGTTAGGGTAGGCAGAGAGAAAAGGACAATTTCCTAAGTGGCTTTCAATTTATTGTTGGCCTACAGTTCCCATCTGGCCTGGCCAGCATAGCCAGTGGTGAAGGATTGCAATCCAATCATCTAGAAGGCCTCAGATTATCCATCTCTGTTCTAAGCAGTGTTGCAGGGTTGCTACTTATATGTCAGTAAAAAAGATGATGAAAGAGGATACTAATTTGCATAACACTTGTATGTGTAGATGTGGGTGTAGAGATATTACTATAATTTAAATAGAAAGATGTTATAACTCACTGTGGTGAAAACAACTGCCAAGTGTTCCTGCCCAGTGAGTTGTCCAGGTGCTAACTGTTGAGGGCAACATCTAAGCACCTGCTCTCTCACCTTACTGGGCGGCTGATCAAACTGAGGACACCTTCAAGTAGATGTTCCTCTGTAAAGTAGGGGGCCTGGCCACCCTAAGCATTGGCCAAAACTGGGGATACAGCTTGAGCAGGCTGCTCATGTTACTCTTTTGGGTCACCTTCTGCATTAATTCCCAATGCATTTGCGTGCCAGTAAATGTCAATAAATTTCATCCAGGGCAACAGAAGCAAAGGATGCATAGAACTCTTTAAGAGCTATTCACATCTCTGAAAGAAATGGGACCAATGCATCATTTCCAAGTAACTTGCGAAATTTGGTGACTATGAGATGGTTTTGGAGAGTGAAGTATTGCTATGAGGTAAAATTAGGTCAGGCCTTAGACTAGCCTTCTCATGCCTGGTGTCCTCAGATGTTTTGGACTTCAACCCCCATCAGCCCCAGCCAGCATGGCTGGAATTCTGGGCTTTGTGGTCCAGAATATTTGTAGGTGCCAGTGAAAGGCTGCCTTAGATTTTTGCAGAAATGAGCTAGTTTAGGCTTCAGCTCATTCTTAAGTAATGGCTCCTTTTGGATTTCTTTATGTCAGATTTTTGGAGAAAAAAGTGATCCTATAGTTGAGGTATGCTCTCTATTACTGAAACAGAGAGAGGAAGGAAGCGAGAGAGAGAGACTCTTTCTTTCTGAATTCCTGCCCCAAATGCAAACCAAATGAACAAAATATTATATATACCCAGAAGAGCCCTGTGGCTAAGAGAACCTCTCCACTTCCCAGTACCTGTGATCCTTTCTCTTTAATCCTTTCATTATACTGTTCTCAGAATATTTCATTCCAGTCGGCATGGCTGTTTTACTTAGTCAGCTGTGGCCTCAGAGATGGAAATAGTTGCCCTGCCCCAAGGATCATTGACTGTTAATCATTGTGAGCTCCTGGCTACAGTCCCAGTGTGAAAGCCGCTCCCAGTCTGGTAGATTGCACGTTTCCAGGCTGTGAAGAAAAGCATGCTTCCCCCAACCCATCCCCCAGTTTTCCCTGTTAGAGTGCCATTTCAGCAAAGGAGAAATGACAAAATAAAGCCAAACGATCTGAGAAAACAAAACCAAGGGTACAGTTAATGTTTTCTTGGCCAGCCAATATAAATGTGAATGACGGGAAATGCCACCATCTTGGGGTCAGTACAAACATGAAAATATGTTTTACAAAACAAGCTTTCACACGTTTTGCAAAATCTTTATTTCCTGTTGGGTTGAAATGCTGCAATTCCAAATGTCACAGATTTACTCCTAAATAGAAAAGAATAAAGAATTGTGGGAAGAGCATTTGACATCCCTGTGGAATGAATATTTTAAGTTTGGGTGAAAAGAGAGGAGACTTGAGAGGGGCATTTTGCTGTGGTTGACAAGGACAAATGAATTTTCCTAAATGTTGTGCATTTGACTTCAGGATCAGGTACCAACATAACTCCTGAGATCAGCATCAACTTTTTAAGTGCTGGCTTTAATTAATGCTTTGTTGTTTGTTGCTGTGTTTTTATAAATTATGTTGTGAAATACCCTGAAAATGTTCTTAATTGAAGGGCGCTGTGTATAAGATAATAAATGCTTAGAAGCAAATTCCACTCAGTTCAGTGACTCTTTCACCCCATTAAGTATGCATGGGATTATAGTCTTACTTTTTAAACTTTTATTGACAAACCAACAGCCCAGCTATTATACAGCTAACCCACAAAATCTAATTCCTAAATTATTTCCTTTCTTTTATAAAAGATGAGGGGAGAGAAAGGTCCATGCTTCTGATTCTAATTGTCTCTGAACAATAAGATTATTCTGGGTTTCATCTCCCAAAATAGTTGTTTCTTTCCTCAAGAGCACTTGGCTTTGCAAACATTTTGAAAAATGTGTCTCTGTATTCTTCCCTTAGGTGCCTCCAACCACCTTGCTCTATTATTCCATGAAACAGTGATACATTTTTAGTAATACATTTCAAATATGCATCCCTTGCATTTGAAAGAGGATTGCACTTTATTTCACCTTCCATACTTCTTTTTCACTGTTTGGGACAAACGTTTTCCATGTGCAACCAACCCCATTTCATTGTAGTGCAAAAGCCAAATTTATTTGGTTACTGATCTCACCTAAGGCAGGTACAGTTTCTCTTTGATGGCCTTGACAGTGTCTCCTACTTCCTTTCAAGGAAGGGAAGAATCTTGAACCTGTTTGGGGACAGTATTCATAGTATGTGGTCTGTAAGAGAGAGAGAGAGAGAGAGAGAGACTAGGCTTTATGTCTTCCCTATGGTTGCTCTCTGGTTTTGAAACAGACTGGTAAGATTCCCTGCAACGCTATCCAAGATGCAGGAAAGAGGGAATGAACAGGCTATAGGGGCATACAGGAATGAGTCTTGCAGTCTTGTAGTCCCTGTCATGGATCAGACAGGAAGAATTCTAGGGAAAATCAGCTGTTACCTCCTAGATGCCGAACACTGAATGTGTATCTCTCCAGCCAGCGTGGAATGTCACTTGCAATACTTCCTCCAGTGCCACAGGTCACACAAATCAGAACAGAATGTCACTTTCAAGAGCATAAGCCCCCTCCTGCTGAAGGACATATGCCTGGGGAGTCTGATTGCAACCTCCCCATTTACTGGACTGCTTACAATCAAGGCTCAAAACAGAAAGGACAAGATGGGGGTTTCCATTTAGATTTGAACTCAAGTAATGGTATTAAATGCTCCGATTCAGTAATAAAAGGTCTGTGGCAATGACAACAAAATTGCATTCTTTGTCTTGACTGCTTCTGTGTAATTAGATCATTTTAGGGCATGGGTGGACTATATTTTTCAGTGCTTGATTTTATTTAGGCAAATTCCTGACAGTCAACAAAGAAGAATCTGAGGTGTGTTTGCAGATGGACAGTCTCTTATTTTTCGCTTACAGGATTAGCAGTCCTTGAGACCTGCTTAAAAGAACTGTGTGTGCATGTGCTCTCTCCCTCTCTCCCTCTCGCTCACTTGCTCACACATAGAAACTCTTTGTATGTTGACTGCTGTAACAAAGAATAAGACCGGGCATCTCTTCTGCTTCTTTCAGGAGAACACCTGAGGATTTGTCCGCAAGGTTATACTTGCTGTACCAGTGAGATGGAGGAGAACTTTGCCAACAAGAGTAGAAGTGAATTTGAAGGCATGTTGAAGGAGGCCACGCGCTCTGTGCAGATAATCCTAACAGCCCAATACAAGAACTTTGATGGTAAGTGATGCAAAGCACATACAACCAGGCCTCTCTGACTTTGCACCCATCTGCTTACCCACGCTTCTTGTAATTTCATTTGCAACATGAACAAAAGTTAAGTGCCCTGGGCAGCATCAAAGGCTGGGTAGCACATAGTGGAAAAGATGATTAATTTAGGCATAGACATCAGGAAATATCTCCAGTTTCTGTATCATGTGGTTAAAAACTAAAAATGCGTGTGGACTTTTAAGCATCCTCTAGATTGATTTTATTATTCCTGTTGTTACAAGGGGACTTCACACAGCACAGACAGCACACCTCAAGCCCTCTGGAGATGGTTGGTTTGTTGACAGTCTGATCTATAACTCCATGTAGATGTTGAAGTTAAAAGAAATCTAGTGCAGAAAATGGACAGTAAAGGACAACTGGAAATATCAAAGGTGTGCATAATAGTTCTTGGCTTTCAGAAACAGTAAACTTCTTGACTAAGCTATGAACAAGACAGTTATGACTGCACATAATGCACCAACAGCAGGAGTTGTGATCAGAGTACTTCCAAAGCCTAAATATATTGAACTGAGAACCAGCCTGCATCTGAAGCCCTGTGGACAGGATAGTGTGTGAGGTCTATTCTAGCAGGAATCACGATCATCCCCCTCTGCCTCATACATACATTGTGCATCACTTTAAATGCCCCCCACACAAACACACACACATATACTCTCCAGCCTGACACCTCAAAATAAAAAAGCAAAAGCCCCATAGATTTAACCCTAACCCTGTTCCAATATTGTATAAAATGCTTTGTGTTGGATATGGGCATATATATTTAAAGAAAATTAATATCTGGAGTATTGAAAAGTGCATCTTTCATTGAACAGAAAAAGTTTTTAGCCTCCAATATTACTAGTCAGTTTAATGAACTGACTTTTACTTGTGTTCGTAATGTTAGATGCTCAAACAAATCCAGTCTCTTGCCCTAGATGCATTCAAAAGCAGAATCTATCATATAATATATTACATACCAAACAGATTGCCCATACACTACTGGATAATGATGGGGGTGCTTCTGAACCAAAATCTTGCTTTTGTCTGTGAAAATTACTGACTGGAGCTGCATGTTTCTTTATCTGCATATTTCCAGTGGTAGAAGATATTTTATACCTCTTGAATGTATTTCCTTAACACTTTATCCTGGTCCTGAAGTGGTGTGTACAAACAGCACAACAACTTAGCTAACCCTAATGCATAAATCACTAGGCTCACAGAGATAACTTCTACTTTCAGCCACGTCATCTTCTCCTCACTTAACTACCACCATGATCTGTTCCTTGGTACATGATTTAACTATGTGAAATGATGTTAAAGTTCTTCAAAATGGGATTTTCAGGAGTAATTCAGCCAGTACTTTTATTCTCTACAGGTTTGCTACTTATTTCAGGTAGAAGTAACCTTAAACTATTTATTTTATTTTTATTTTATTTATTAAAACATTTTTATGCCGCCCCATTCGCCAAAGCCTCGGGGCGGCTTACAACAATAAATTAAAATAACATTTTAAAATATATACATTAAAATACAAATATATAATATAAAACATACAATATAAAACAAGCCGCCCTGGCCAGATAAAATTCAATAATATTAACATTTAAAATACTGCTTAAATAAAAAGGTCTTTGCCTGGCGCTGAAAAACAAATAACGACGGCGCCAGGCAGACCTCTCTGGGGAACGCATTCCATAACTTAGGCGCCACCACTGAGAAAGCCCTCCTCCGAGTAACCACCCTCCTAACTTCTTCCACAGAGGGCTCCCGGAGAAGGGCCTCTCCCGCCGATCTCAGGGGGCGGCTGGGCATATGTGGATGTAAGCGCTCCTTCAGGTAACCAGGACCCAAGCCCAACTAGTAAGCTGGAGCTGAGCTTCAGAAAACAGGAATGTTGGGACAAATATGCATACAGCTCGTGGGATGGCTGATTGTCTAGTGCCTTAGAATATAAATGGAAAACTTTGCCCCATATCAAAACCTTTGAGACATAGAAATCAAGGAGACGGCAAGGCTGGGAATCCAGCCCCCTTTTCTCTCTGACATGCTAGCCTTACACAGGGAATAGAAGGACTCATTCAGGGAATCGGTTCTCAGAAGCCAGACATGTCCTGAGTGGAGCCCAACCTTGTACCAGTGGAAACTGCATCAGTCACAAAATGGAATTAATCTTGAACATCTAGTTTAGCATGAATAGTAGGCCTGTGCCAGAGCAAAGAAGCAAGGAAGATGGTACTCGACCACACTTAGAAGCCACCTGGGTTGGCAATTCAATTTTACTTCTGCGCTACTGATGGGGCAGCATGAGACCTGAGGGCTACAGCTGAGTTTAGAGGTGCACAGGGCTGAGTCTGTCTTCCAACACTTCCCCACCTGAACAGGGTTATATGTGCCCATGTACAGCACCTGCTCCATCAATCAGGGGGCTTTCTAATTGGGGCTAGCTGTGATGTCTTCAGTGGAGGTAACTAGGCCTGCCAGCCGCAGGAGTACCAGCTCAGGAAAATGGCAGAGGCTGGTGGGGAAAGGCAATCTGCTGCCTGAGGCAGCCAACTTATTTTGCCTCTGTAGGCATTTAAGTCTTCCCAAAATGAAGTTTTTGTTTAAAGTTTGGGCAAAAGTTTTAAGGGTTTTGACCAGGGTGGAATTAGATTTTTCCTGGCACTGGATGGGGTGTGCTGCTGATTTGTCTTGCTGAGATTATAGCATATTTCTGCAGGTGATTCATTTTCATAGTACTTCTGGCACCCACGATTCATGTTTGTTATGAAAGATATAGAGGACACAATAAAATTCAGCAAAAAATGAGGATTTTTTTTCTAATTCCCTAGAGTCATCAAGCTGATCACCATATTCAGTAGTCATCCCTGATATAAAGGCAGTTCCCCAATATAGAAACATCCAAGTTACAAAACACTCATACTTAAGAATGAACTGCCATAAAGCCTATTAATGTTTTTAATTACTGCAGAGAATCATCATTACCATAGAGAGAGGGGGAGTGAAAGGGGAGAAAGGAAGGCCTCCAAAGCATGCCTTCCTGCCATGCGCATCCGGAGAAGGAAATCTCTCTGGCTTTTTCTTGGTCTAAAGAGGAGGCACTGATGAGTTTGGACAGTGCAGGGAGGTAGAGATATTCAGAGTTTTTCCACTTCCACCAGTGTCCCTTGCCCCTAACCCCTCTGAATGTGGAGGACCAATACATGATCTGACTTACAAACAAATTTGACTTACAGACAAATTTCTGTTTTCTCAGGAACAGAACTTGTTCATAACCCAGGGACTGCCTGTATATACTAGAGACAGGTGTGAATACTGATAGCAGTAACTGATATTTCTGTCAGGCTTAGATGGGGATATAATTCCCTATGTGTTAAATGAGGGGTCGATGATGCAGGAAACTGAGGCAGCTGCTCTTCCCCCAAACATTGTAAATAACAACATGGCTTCCAGTACACTACAAAACACATCAGTTTAAATGGGAGTACTCAGATATGATTGTGGCCTTGGTGACATGGGTGTCAAAGGAGTACTTTGCAAGTGCCCTCCTAAATGAAGGAAAGGTGATTGCCACCCTATTTATATATAAAGAAGGGAAACAGAATGGCTTCTCCTGATATAATTAAATCCGTGCCTTATCTCAGGGTCGGGGTTACATTTTCCATTGATGAAAGGAGTGCATTAAAAGCCTTTCATCTTGAGATGAGCTCTTGACTCATCTCTCTCTCTCTCTCTCTTTCTCTCTCTCGCTCTCTCTCTGTACTGATTCGCATTCAGCTCTTAAATGTGTAAGCACTGGAAGGTGAAATTACGTCAAACCCTTGTATTCCCTGGATAGTTGCTTCTGTAAACAAGGCTTTATGTAAATCTAGTTGCATAAAAGGATGTGCTGGCTATCCGTCGCACTGTAGCATGTTACAAGATTTGGTAACTCGGAGTACTAGGTGCCACCTTAGCCAAAACCCTTCCGGGTTGATGGCACATTTCTAACTCTGCAGCCATGTCACTCTGCCAACCATGTACCTTGTTCTCTGTGGGATAATCGTTGTCATGCCCTGTGTGCACCTCCTGTGTAGATCCCACCTGTAGTTAGCACTGCAGCAGTGCCCATCTCTAGCGTAGCTCATTGTGTCATTTGTATATCCACATACTGCCACAGTCCTATAACCCTGGAGGGCTAGAGGAGCAGGACAAAAATAGAGGAAATAAGTAAATCTGACTAAATGCTTCAAGTTTCTAGGTACCAGCATTGACTTACAGGAGCCAGTTTGGGGTTTATGTCCTTAAGGAATAAAAAGGGGGAAATGGCCAAACATTAGGGACCTTTGGATACATAGTAACTCCTAAGCAATCACCTGGAGGAGTGACCGGGTTGTGGGTTCACACCCTGCCGGAGATCACGCACAGGTGCCTGTGTAAGCCAGTTCTTTCTCAGTTTCATTACCAAGTGTTATCCAAGCATTATGGCGGGGTGATAGCCCTCTCAGGACCACATACTTGTCAGACAGCAGCTTAGACTTTAATCCTTATGTATGTCTACTCAGAAGTAAGCCCTATTAAGTTCAAAGGGGCTTACTTCCAGGTAAGAGTGTATAGGATTTCTTTCTTTATCAACTGGTCTGTGTTACTCATATGAACAATTTAAAGTATTTAACATCCGAACAGCAATGATACTGGAAATCCCAGGTGTTTTAGTACTCTGTTTGATTGATTTATATCCCACTCTATCCCATTGACTCAGAATGGCTTACAGCATTTTTTTCTAAATGTTAATAGTTCTGTTCCCAAGAGGCTTGCAATAAAAGGAAATCAAAAGGTTTAGAGGATAAAAGAAGCCAAATGAAACAAAAATGACATTTTAATATAAAATCTATCTTTAAAAGCATGAATAACCAGACCAAAAAATAGCTAGGACAAGACTTCTTATAGGCAGTCACCTGCTCGATCTTTGTTCATCAAGGAGTTGCTAT